GAAAGCTTTATTGTACTTTTTGTTTCACCAGAAAAGTAAGCAAGGTTATGTTTATTAAAGGAGGTTAAGCCCTCTCCCGATCGTAAAATGATAATAAACGTGACCAACTTTTGATAACTTGTTTCCACCACTACGACATTCTTGCGACAAAACTCGTAGTAGAATGACGACGGCTTTCTCGTTTTCCCGCCAAAATGACGCTGGTTGAGCCGTGTGCAGTACTTAGTATTAGGGACCTTAAACAACTACGACGACAACGGCAGTGAAAACTTGGCTAAAAAATGAATTTGCGTTCTTTCAAACTTAATCAAGTCTATTTGTCAAATAGACTTGATTAAATGCAGGGGACGTTTCCTGGAGTTGAATTCTTAAGGATTTTATTCGGGATCAAAAAGAGGAAGCAAAATTCGTCGTCGTATGTCCACGTCCTCCATGCATAAAACGTCAAATTAAGAGGTTTCACGTCGTACTCGTGCAGTGAAAGTAAAAAAGAATTGTACTAAAAAGCGTGGTTCACGTGCAGAGCTGTTGTTTTGATCATTAAACCTATCTTTTCTTTGACGTTGTTGTCGTCGTCGTCGTCGTAGTTGCTTAAGCTCCCTCAGTATTGTAACAATCTCGTTCTCGTAGTCATCCTTGTCTTAGCATCTAAAGGTCTCTAATTGTATGCAACTGAATCCAGGCTCTTATCTCATCCATAACCAGTTACAAAAATGTCGAGACACTCCGAAGGAAATCCGGCTCTGTTTACTTAAAATCGAAACAAGAACCAAGGTGTTCGATCTCCTTTTCTTCGCCCTACTTAGTGTCTGATAAATTGACTTCTAAGGGTGCGCGTTCCGTTGATCGTGTTCCGGAATAAAAAATTAAGCTATAAAAATCCATTGTATTGCGATAACGAAAAATCTCCTTGAAATAAATATTATTATTATTATCCAGACAAAATATTTTTCTGGTTCTGATTGGCTAAAATCCCATGCACAATTCATTGCCCCCGCTGGGCGAAATCCCGAGGAGACATGCTTGTAGCTGCGCGTGTATGTAGAAAAGTACTTACAGTTGAAATATGCAGTCAGCCACTAAAGAAAAAATCTCGATTTGCTTGATCAGGGGCCACATGGAGTCGTTGAGTAATAAAATGATGACATTCGTTTATTCACGCCCCCAAGCAAGAGATTTCTTAGGGTGACGTAAAACAGATTATCGCGCAGAATGGTTGTTGTTCTCGGGACATTGTACTTACAGTCGAGCTAGAAGCATAGCTGGAGCGTGAACTGAATCGCTCTTGTTGCGTGAACTGAATCGCTCCACGATTGGCATCGTGTCACTATGGATTGCCTTAAAACTATGCTTAAACATATCTTGGCATCTGGTGTTATATAAATCCTTGCAGTTTATCTGATTTAAATATCCTAGTAGTGCAAAGAGTTCTTAACGATCTTGAGCGTCCTTCTGTTAAGTTTCTCCAGCTTGTCTTTATTTCGAGCCGCACAGAAGAGCCAAACCGAACAATTTCTTAAGTTTGGTACCATGAAAGCCTCACAGAATTTAACGTCGCTCCATAAAAGTGCACGTGGATTATACGAACAAACGAACCGCCTATAAATGAAGTTGACAAGTGCGTGATTTATTTTCACTGATTAAAACAACTTAGCTTTTATGCTGTGCCATAACAATTCAGTTTTCCAAGAGTGTGTTGTATATATCCTTGGTTGTCTCTCCCAGCATCACCATGCACGCGCTGTATCACTGAAAGCTTTGTTTTGTCAGTGAGGAGACCGCTGTCCTCACGCCATTCATAGTCATTCGCATCACAGTTACAACCAAAACAAGGATTTGCGCATGAGTTGTTCATTCCGCATGCGCAGTTACCATTCAAACGCCTAGGCCGAGGTCTCGATTTCAACAGTGACTACATCCCAGAGTCTTATCGTTTCAACTGTGGCGACTTTCTTGGAGTTGCTATTGGAGAGGCTGTCTCAGCAATCTCGTCCCTAGGCTCTCTCTTCTCTTCATAGCCAATAACATCACGGCTTAACTTACAGACAATCAACACCGTCGCGGCTTAATTGACCAATAGGGCCAAAAGCCAGAGTTTACTACCATTAACTGGCGCGATAGAACTTACTTTGACTCTGAAGATGACTACCACATTGAAACGTCAGTCACTGTAAACAACAGTCCTATCTTCAGGACTACGTTCATCCGGACAATCGTGCTCAACATACTTTTGATCATGATAAATATAATAATATCGATAGTGCCCAAAACTAAAAGCGCAATGGCGCCTTACAAACAGCATTAAATACGTAAGGGAAATAAACAAACAAAAAAACAGAAAACACAGAAAGCACCAAATACAATCACGGAAAAAATTTATTGTTAATATTTAAGTAGAAGTTCTTTGCTTAAAGAGGTGCGTTTTGAAAAAGAGATTTAAAAAAGGTCTATTGTACTAGCTTGTCTGATATTATCTAATTATTAAGAGAGGTACACATTATGGGGGAGAGACCCCTCTAATTCATATTACGTTCGATCACTTGAATGCTCCCTAGAGGAGATTTTATTTTTACCTAACAGTTCTACATATGACGTTTACTTATCAGACACAAACTGGCTTTACGGAGCCACTTACGGCGATGTGCAACCTAATGGTTTGTCTCAAGCACTCATAAGATGTTCAACCGAGTAGCTCACAGCATCTGGGCTACCCAGCTAGCAAGCCATGATATATAGAAACAGAAACAACAAAAATATGATGGTTGTATACGTACTAGAATACGTGCGCAACTCGTCCTTATAGTACAAATCAGGTAGACCAGCTTATTCAGGCCACCGCTATTCAAACTTGGAAATGTTAATTATATCGCTACTCAAAAGTCTTTATCCTTGTTTCCCCATTTAAACCAAAGTTAAACACGTTTCTAAACATCTACTTTTAATTCAAAATAAGTTCCTTATCAACACTGCTATTGTTTCTCGTCGACTGCACGTTAGCCTAAAACGATACTGAAATAAAAAAGGAACATCAATAAACAATAAAAATATGAAGTTAATACTGACTTGAAGTATATGCAGAAGTCAGCTTTTATCTCCTGTTACTGCGTTTTGTGTTAATAAATTTTTTTATAACCTTTAATGTGACTTAAGTGTCCCGGAGGAGGATACTTCCTTATAACGGGCTAATGGGGATGTGCCGCTGGATGGGGTTGCATTTTCACATCTGGATTGACTATAATGGGATGGCATTTTCAATAAGGTTACTAGAATGGGGTCGCACATTTTGGGATTTTGGGGCTGAGAAAGTTCTTCATATTTACGGTTAGAAAACGTACCAGAATGTTTGTATTGTAGGTGAAAAGTAAAGAGTTCTTCATTCAATTTAAAAACTGGGTCAATTCATTTTAGGATGACCTATTTTCAAAAAGGATTGATACATAAATAGAGAGTAACTAAGTTGGGATCGCGAAAATTACGTTTGCCCAAAAGTGACTAATATGGGGTCTATAATTGGCCACGGAATAGAGTATACTACTCTGAGAGGCCAGCGGCACTTACTCAAAATTAACCCAAGTACCCCCCGGGTTAAGTGTAGGATGCGAGCTTCAATATATCTAAATACATTTTTCTTGAAGTTAGTCTTCGTCTCTATAACACATGTACTTATAAGTCTACAACTCAGTCAACCTGGCCATAAAAAGGCGAAAACTTGCGAAGTCTGTTGCTGGTGTTCTTTCTTATCATGTGTAACTTTAAAGCACAGAAAACTATAACCCTAGTTACTGGTATGTTAATAATCTTGTATAAAGTGACAAGTTTTTCCTTGATGAAAGAAACCAGTTATCAAATATTAACTTCAACCCTTCTTTTCTTAACGAAGCTGGTTAATAAAAAGAAAAAAAATACAAGTTTTATGTACGATAAAGCACGTGCGCGGTGTAGCTAGGTTCAGACACAACTTCTCTTTAATTGGTTTAATTTCTTTTCACAGCGTCAAAGCTGTGATTTCCCTACACTTTTCTAGTCTTTCCTTTTTTATTTGCATGCTTGGCCAAGAAAGTTAGCTAAGCAAAACACCGTTTTTTTAAAACAACCGGAACCGTCGGCTCTATCATTCGGTTCCGTAATGTGAATCATACATGTCGCTACACACACGCAAAAATATTCTCCCTTAGCTATGTATAGTATGTGAGGCGCCAAGGAGAATAGTCTTGAATCCTTCTGCTCTGAAGTTATATTTTAAGCGCTATGGTCTCAAACAGAGGAAATTTTTGTTTTCACTTGAGAACAGCGAATCAGTTAGGAAATAGGGTAGAAAAAAATCACATATTTTGGTCCCGGGGGGTACTCCTCTATATAGGCTATGCAGGTATGTGTCGCCCGATCAGGTAGGGTTTTTGCGCCATTTTGGTCTGCAATCGGGTATGGTTTTTGAGGGAACTACGGGAGTGTATGAACGAATTATCGTTTCAATTCCAAATGAGTAAGAAAGAAAGAGAAATATGCGAATTTGAAATGGCTTGGAAGACTTTTTGTTTGCACTCTAATTTAAGTAATAATAACATAATTTCTGCCTAAAGGCCAGGTCTGAAAACGGGTGTGGATTTTAGAGATCTAGTCTGAAAACGGGTGTGGAAAATTACATTTTTTGTTCTGAAGTAGGGTCAGGATTTGGAGAACTGGGCGGCACACTTCCACCAAGAATTCCCAGGAGTACCCCCCCCCTTTGGGATTTTAGTCTGAGATAGGATCAAGGTTTCGGGAAGCATGCCGAACTGTCAAGGAAAACCCTCTCCTAGAGAGTGCTCCGGATAGTCATCTAACATGTGCTTTGTTTGTCAAGAGTAGCTATTAAGAGTCCGAAAGCTTGTAAACTATTCTTGTAAAGGTTTTGTTGAAATGACCCTGAACAGCACTTGCCTATATTTTACAGGTTTCTTTTAACATTCCACATGACACCAAATAACAATTAATTCTGGTAATAACAAGTTTCTTTGTGTGTGTGATTACCCAAGTGATTATGCTGTACCATAACACTTGAATTTTCCCAGGGTGTGGTAGCCGTGCTCCTTACGACCACCATTATCACCAAAAAAGAGCTGTGTTACTGGAAGCTTTGTCTTGTCAGTGAGAAGACCGCTGTCTTCACGCCGTGCTTTGTGATTAGCATCACAGTTACAGCCATATTTGGGGTCTGCACACGTGTTGTTCATCCCGCATGCGCACTTACCACTGCCAGGTGATGCTCCTCCCCAGTACGTCATGTTAGAATAATCACGTGACACCCACCATCCTTGTCCAGTTCTCAGTAACATTGAGGCATAACACTCATACTTGATAAACTGCTCGCAGTGTGAGGAGACACTGGTAAGACTGGCCAGATGAAACAGACTCGCTCCAGTGTAATGAATGTGGCGTGAGTAGCATCCTGCCCCATCACATCCTTTCACATGTGTCCTGCTCTCACTGTCGTGACTGATAACTGTCACGCCAACTCCATTCTTGTCAGTCATGTCACAATATACTGTAAATGGCACCAGGCCTCCCTCGCCATCTGGATCAATGACGTAATTTCCACTTGATACTGTAGGGTCGCCGTTCTTTAAGTCACTGCATGATAAGGCTGCAGAGAGAAGGTTCTAAGTTATTCTTGTGGTTAATCACTATTTCAGTGCCTTTCTCGTGCTTATAATTTGTATAAGATGCCTGTATATCCCGAAACACCTCTAGAAGGACTTTTCTAACACCGCGCTACTTTGCGGGACATTTTCTTGACGAACGAAAAGCCAGAGAATACAAGTGCTTGGTGTTAAAAGGTTACTTACTTGACTTTTAATTACAATGAACATTTCACCGACAAAAACTTCAATGGAAAATAACAAATTATTAGCAAAGGTTCGGCGATAAAACCGCCAGAATTGTCAAAATTTAAGCCACAGACCGTGTGGTCGCCCCGCGATTGTGCAAATAAGTTTCAAACCAATTATGTGATGTACCCCGAACTCCATATAGATGAAGCTTAGAGAGCAGTACGATTTACTGTGTCAAAAGCCTTTAATAGGTCAAGAATTAAACCATATGTTATTTGACCTTTATCAGTAGCTAGCTTCAGATTGTCAGTAATTTCAAGAATAGCTTGTTCAGTGGAATATCCTTTCCCAAATTCAAACTGATATTTGTACAAGATTTGGTGTTTATCTATGAAATCAACGAACATAATTGATTATAGACTACACGCTCGAACACTTTACTGAATGGTGAGAGAGTTGCTTGGGTCTGTAGCATCACCACCCTTATACACTGGGGAATTTGTGAGACTTTTAAAATATCAGAAACAATTCCAGTTTCAATAGACTGGTTATAGATATATTTTAAAGGTATTGACAGTGGCTGGGCAGCTATTTTGATTAGCTTATTAGGAAAATTTACGGATGACTTATGATCATTTAAACATTTAATTAGATAGTGAACATACTTGGGTTTCAGTGACACAGGACATAACAAAGCTAGCTACTGGAGTCGATCTTATGAATTGGGTCGGACGTCCTTCACGATTTTCAATTCTTTTGGCCAGGTTTTGACCCACATCAGCTCGCATTGACAAAATGCTTATTAAATTGGTCAGCGATCTCAGCCTTATTAGTGTAGGCTCTATTGTTACGTTTAATTTTCGAGATCAGCGCGGCCATCCGCGCGGCCATGTAATATCGATCTTCTACACTATTTTACCTGTAGCCTTCTCACAGTTTTCTCCTTTGAAGCCAAAAGTGCAAACACAGAGGTATTTCTTGCTCGTATATCCTGTGAAGCATGTTCCGTTGTTGAGACAAGGATTACTGACGCAGGGGTTCTAATGGAGAATGTATATTTTTAAAATCACATTAAAAATTATGTACCATGCTGTGATCATAGGAGATAGAAAAAGGGATTATTTAGATCTCTCGAACCTCTCAATATTTTATTTTTCTTCCAGTGAGGTTGAAACATTTGGGATTTTTCTGGAATTGTTGATTTATGGGAGCGAAGACATATATTTTCATATCGTAATTGTTATAATAATAATAATAATAATAATAATAATCATCATCATCATCATCATCTTAATGGCTGTCACAATTACTGGTAGATTTAGAACCAGTAGTTTATATTGTGGGCCCAGTGTAATGTTATCAGTATCGATATCGTCATCATCCATTTTTCTAGTCGATATCGTCATCAGCATCATCATTATCATCAGCATCAGTAGCAACTCATCATAGGGAACATCACCCGCTTATTAAAAACCTTTATTTTCTTTATCGATAAATAGCGAGACGTGCAATCGGCTGCCGTTGGTTTTTCTACGTATGTTTTAAACCTAATTGTCATTGGTACCTCTGTGATGCCTCTATAACTCCAGCCCTGTCTTGGTTTAAGATGTTGTGGGTGCAGTATGTGGTCCGAATCACTAAGCTCACACACAACTTTGTCGTTCACAGGCGGACCAATGTTTATTGACACGCATCTACTCTCCATAACACATCTGTGATGACAAGGTGTGTATATTCCAATAGTAAGATTTAAAAACACGTGCTCTGCCAAATATTGGCCATCGTCCGGTGGAAGGAACTTGAGGCGACGACAACCATCTGCAAAGAAATTGCATCAGGGTCTTGTTAGAATGTGATAAGTAATAGACTCTAAAAGAAAACATCGGTGGAATAGCTGATACCGACTCGATGGGATACCAAGTGACTGGAGCAACTGTTATCACATTGTTATTTTACCAAGTCAAAAGTGCTAATTGTAAAAGTCATTGTGAATATCCCCCCAGTCTTTGACTGTCGATAGAGTGCTGCGAAGAACATGCTGATTTCAGAAAGGTCGGGGCTGCAAAGACCATATCTAAACCTTGAAGAGCTACATGGAGCAGTGTCATTTGAATGGCAGGGAGGATTGTATGTCAAGTTCATCGATTTCCAGCGTTTGATAGCGTGCACACAGAAAGCTTATGGAGTATTCTCCGGATACATCGCATACTTAAGCACACTGTCCGAGTGATAAAGCAAATATTCTATACTGACTTTTGTTGCTCGGTTAGATGCTCTGATCTGAGCTACCACTTTAATTCCAGTGTCCACATCCTACATCAACACTATGATGTCATTTTCACGCCATAAGCCGTTTAAATCAAAAAACAAAAAACATACGATTGTTTGGAATACAACGATCTTTTATCCAGCAAATTGTGAGCTGAAACGGATAAAAGCTGCAAAAGCAGCTTCTAAGAGAGAGTTTCAGGCTTCATTTGTGCCTCCGTGTATGGAATAGGCTACGGGTCCGCAGCAAACAATTTTTTCGGTCTTTCGCCTCTGACAGCCTCATCGCTATGACTTGTATTTGACATAATTCTTTTTACTTTCAACTCCAAAATTTAGCACGCATTTAGGCATATGTATCGGTCTGTTTTGAGATTTGCTAAAACATTGAATTCGTAGGTAAATTATGCCTAGATTAATCATTACCGGCAACCTGTATAAATAATTTTGTCACGATCGAATTTATCATTTACCCGACTGGGGTGACAGTTAGCTTTGATTTTCGTTTCTTACCTAACTTCAGTAGACATCAGTCTTTCTCGGTGTACGATGTTTCTATCTGCGTACTGTCACACGTCCTCGTAAGCAGGTGGACATTGCGCAATAAAAAATGCATGAGGGAAAGAGCTTACAGTATACCGGAGTATGGTTTATCGCCTTACTGCTTCTGCCGGAAAAGGGGACGAAAACCAAGGGGAGGGGGGGGACTTCCTATGATGGCCTATACGTGGAGGTTCCGCTTCAGGTAAATGGCATGGTAGGGATTTTACTCGTTGAAGTATATAGAAGACTACGGAAATCTGTCATTTGGGTCTGTGAAAGGGCCCAAAAGGGCTATCAGATGAATTTTATCGGTTTATTGAGTCGAGAAAAGGTTCTATTTTTGTGATTGACTCCTATTTAATAGACAGTGCATTTACCGCAGTTAAAAGGGATGCAAAGTTCTAAACAAGGTATGTGAAAGGGTTACTTTTTCGTAAAAAAAAAAAATGGTGTATAAAAGGGTAAGGGGTTGAACCTCGTGGCAGAGCCTCCCCGTATAAGCATTTGCTGAGTCCCCCCTCTCCCGGATGAAAAAACACGCCATCTCCGACGCTTCAGGGTTAACGGTCTTCGCCATCTCTTACTGCGCGAGTAGACAGGTTCCTCGCCACCTTAGGGGAAGTGCCAGTGACGATTACCATGGTAGGCAGTGTAAATGCTAGGTGTCCTGTGCACTAGGCCCAGTCTGCGCCGAGGTGTTGTCATTCGACACTAGGTCAAACCTCGGCATACATGTGCTTTTATCGCTTGTTATTTTCGCCTTTATTTCTCGGATAAGGATCGTTTAACTAGACTCACATCGAAGGAATAGAACATTACGGAAGCATTACGGATATTTCAGCAGTTTTCAAGGTTACGGATAGAGACACTTGCTTGTTTGTAAGGATTTCTTGTACGGTATTGTATTCGAACGGTGTGCTGAGGGTAGTTGATCGGATCGAATAAAACGTGGAATTGACATCGAATTGACGGCTGTTACAGTTTGACCTACAAACGAATCACATGGAAGGAGACAAGGAAGAAGATTTACAAGGGAAAACGGAGTTCCCTGACGAAGAGAAGCTTTGCACTTGGCGCGAAGTTGATATGGATCTCGATACAATCTGCTCGTCACCTCGTTCGATATCGCCGCTGACCGGTTTGTTGGCTCAAGAAACTCACATGGACGTGCGAAAACGGATTCCTACAGAAAGGGGTAGGCAATTTGAGATTCAAAAGTTGAAGGAAAATCGGAAAACTGCACTTGCTAATTTAACTAAGCAGATGAACTTAGTCTCACCTTTGTTAACGGATTTTGAGAACGAAAAACAAGTGCGTACGGAAGTTGTTCATTTAGATCAGCTATTTGTTAAAGTGCAAGAAGCACATGACGCATATCTCAAGGCCTTAGATGATGGTGATGAAATTAAATTAGCTCTTGAATGGTTTGGCACTCGTGATAAGGATGTGCTTCAGCTAAAGCAAAGGATTATTGGCTTTTTGGATGATGCAGATAAGCTACGTGGCGGTTTACGTGATACACACTCAGTGAAATCTAAGTCATCTCGTCGCTCAAGGCACTCCCTTTCCTCGGTAACATCTGCTAGGTTAAAGTTAATTGAAGCGAAAGCTAAAGCTGCAGCGTTAGAGGTTAAGGCATCATTTCTAAAAGAGAAACAAGCATTAAAAATGGCTACTGAAGAGCTTGAACGTAGGCAGCAAATCGCAGAGGCAAAGGCAGAAGAAAAAACTTATGAGAAATTCGAGGAGGAACAAAATATTGACGGAATAAACGAAAACTTGGAAGATGTCGAGGTTAAACTCACTTCTACTACCATCTCACCTGGGGTACAATCTAACGATCAGGCTACACTAAGGGTGCCTTCTGTGAAGTTCCAAAGTTCAGCTATTGTTGGTTCAACGACCACTCCTGTAACCACCCCAGCCTTAGTCAGTGCTGCTAGTATGAACCCAACTGCCCGACCCTTTGTTCCAAAGAGTGTTCCCAATAAGGAAGAAGAGTATAAGGACAAGTACGAAACCCCCACTGATTATAAGCTACCATATGTTAAAAGGGAATGTACGTGCAGTTTCGGAAAGGATTCAAGCTCTGTGGAAGGTACAGGGTTAGATCAAAACTATCTTGACATTCAAAGGAAGCAGGCTGAACTTTCCGAAATGATTGTTACCCACCAGGCTAGGAGTCTCCCACCTAGTCACAAGCCACCTACGTTTTCGGGAGATGTTATGTCATACCCAGCATTCATAACAGCCTTTGAAACTCTCATAGAATCTAAGGTAGATGATTCTAATGAGCGCTTGTACTTCTTGGATCAATACACTAGTGGAAAGGCCAAGGAACTGATAAAGGGTTGTTTACAAATGAAAGGCGAAGATTCGTACAAGGAGGCTGGACGGCTTTTGAAGAAACATTTTGGTGACCCATACAAGATTGCAAGTGCATACATCGCCAAGCTGTCGAGCTGGCCCGCTGTTAAGCCTAACGACGGAACAGGGTTACAAGAATTTTCTATTGTCCTTGAGCAAGCAAGGAACGCCATGACAGGCATGCAATACATGAACGACTTGAACACGGCCAATGTTATGCGCCAGTTATGGGAAAAGCTGCCGCGATATCTACGTAGTAAGTGGACTGAAAGAGTTAGCAGGATTAGGAGTGTCAAGGGACAGACAGCTAGCTTTAATGACTTTTGCCAATTTGTATCAGAGCAAGCCGATTTAGCGACAGACCCAATCTATTCCGAGGAAGGCATAAGTAAACCGATGAACGCAGTTGACAAGTACCAAAAACAGAACGAACGCAAACCCAAGAGAGGAAGGGGTACCAACTTTGCAACAGGCTTGGCAGGAAAGAATGCAGGTGGAGGAAATTCTCACCCCATCAGCTGTACATTGTGCTCTAAGGCGCATCATCTGGACGAATGTGCTGAGTTTCTTAAAAACCGCTAGTGGAGCGGAGAAACTTTATCAAACAGAAAGGCTTATGCTTTGGTTGCTATAGTTGTGAACACATTGCCAAGCTTTGCAAAAAGTAAAAGAACCTGTCAGATCTGCAAAAAAAACACCCAACGTCACTCCATGATTACAGTTGGAAATCAGAAGAGGTGAAAATGGAAAGTGGAAACGGCCAACATGAGAAACCGGAAGCCAGTAAAAAGAAAACGGAAGAGCGAGTCGTTAACGTGTGTACTGCAATTTGCAATGTGACAGATGCCGGTGATGTTCCAGTTGCTATGGGTATTATCCCAGTATGGTTGTACCACAAGGACAATCCAAACAATAAGATATGTGTTTACGCCCTCCTTGATAATGCCAGTGGTGGAACATTCATTAAGGAAGACTCGTTAAGAAGGCTTGGTGTTAAAGGAAGTGAAACCAAACTTTTGCTCACTACTATGCATGGTACCCAAGAAGTCGATACTAAAGCGGTAGATGGGCTAATGGCTTCCCACTTTCAAGAAAACGACGTTATCGTACCCCTACCGAGAACCTACGTCAGACAACGGATTCCAGCAGATCGTGATGAGATTCCTCGTCCCGAAGAGCTGCAAGGATGGTCACATTTGCAGATGGTTAGGAAACACGTACCTCCTTACATGGAAGACGTAGAAATAGGACTCCTGATCGGACTAAATTGCCCTAGTGCAGTGCGACCAAGAGACATTGTTTGCGGCAATGAGAATGAACCCTATGCAGTAAGATCACTACTGGGATGGCACGTAAACGGTCCTGTTAACCAAAAGAGCAGTAAACAAGTACATTGTAACCGTATTCAGATTCTTAAGAGCAACACAGAGGATAACGTGAATGGGTACATCATTGCTAAGACAGAGATTAAGGAGCGGCTAACCCCTCAAGTGGTTTCTCGAATGTTTGAGGTGGACTTTGCTTAAAAGGAGCACGGAGTCGCATTATCAAGAGAAGACCGTCAGTTCCTGAAGATTGTAGAAGATGGAATCCATCATAGAGATGACATGCATTACGAGATGCCTCTGCCCTTTATAGAAAAGAATGTACAGCTACCCAATAACCGTCCTCAAGCAGAGCAACGCCTGCACGGCCTTAAGAAGAGACTCCAAGGCGACGCAAGGTATCGTGCTGAATACGTCAGATTCATGACTGAAATCATAGAGAAGGGATATGCTCGAAAGGTCAAGGTTGAAGAGCTACCCCATCAAGAAGGAAAGGCCTGGTACTTACCTCACCACGGGGTTTACCACCCCAAAAAGCCAGGCAGCATACGCGTAGTATTTGACTGTTCAGCTCGTTACCAGGGTGAATCGCTGAATGGCCACCTATTGCAAGGGCCCGATCTAACAAACAAGCTCACTGGGGTGCTCACAAGATTCAGAGAGGAGAAGGTAGCCTTCATGGCTGACATAGAGAAAATGTTTTTTCAAGTCAAGGTTCCAAGGGAAGATCAGAACTTCCTTCGCTTCTTATGGTGGCCAAATGGAGATTTAACTCAAGAGCCTCAAGAGTACTGCATGACAGTGCACCTCTTTGGAGCTGGTTCATCTCCAGGGTGTTCTAACTTCGCCTTGAAACGTACAGCCGAAGACGGTGAAAGAGAGTTTGGTGCAAGAGCTGCCGAAACATTAAGGAAGAACTTTTACGTCGATGATGCTCTGAGTTCGGTACCGACAGAGAAGGACGCTGTAGAACTAGTACAAACTGTTAAAGAGATGTGTGCAAAGGGAGGGTTCAAACTAACGAAATTTGTCAGCAACAGTAGTAAGGTGATGTCAGTACCTGCTGAAGACAGAGCAAAGGAGATCAAGGGCCTAGACCTAGGCAGTGACAAGTTACCAATAGAGAGAGCATTGGGTGTAGAATGGTGCATTGAATCGGACGCATTCAAATTCAGGATAGAGTTGAAGGACAAGCCGTGCACCCGTAGGGGTATACTGGCAACTATAAGCTCGATCTTTGATCCTCTGGGGCTGATTGCGCCCGTCGTCCTTGTTGGAAAGCAGATACTTCAAGAGATCTGTCACGGAAAAGACTGGGACGAGCCAATCGAGGGAGAAGTTCTTGCCAAATGGGGAAGATGGAGAAGTCAGTTACCGCTATTAGAGCAGGTGAACATCCCAAGAAACTTTCAGCCTCCTGATTTTGGAAGCATTGCCACTGCTCAGCTACATAATATGTCAGATGCGTCTCAAGTCGGGTACGGACAATGTTCTTATCTCAGACTGGTTGATGAAAACGGAAGAATTCATTGTTCTCTTGTTATGGGGAAAGCTCGTGTTGCACCGTTGAAGACAGTCACTATTCCAAGACTTGAACTAACTGCCGCTACCGTTTCAGTAAGGGTTGCAAGCATGCTAAAAGAAGAGTTAGACTATGACGGACTCCAAGACTTCTACTGGACCGATAGTAAAGTTGTCCTCGGGTTCATCAACAATGAATCTCGAAGATTCCAAGTGTATGTTGCAAATAGAGTGCAATTCATCCGTGACCACACTTCACCGGACCAGTGGCGCTACGTGGAGTCTGGATCCAACCCAGCAGATGAAGCATCGAGGGGGATGAACGCTAAGGAGTTTATGCAAAGGTCGCAGTGGATTAAGGGCCCAGACTTCTTGTGGCAGACGGAAGATCACTGGCCTCAACAAGACTCATACGAAAACGAGGTGGACCACAATTCTCCTGACGTTAAAAGGGTTACCGCTAACGCGACAGTGATTGAAGAACATGAAAACATGTTAAGCAGATTCAAAAGATTCTCCAAGTGGCAAGTCCTAAAAGGCGCAGTTGCGCTTTGTATGGAATACAAACGACGTCTCAAGATGAGAGCCAGTAAGGCAGACAAGAGACCTCTAACTGTTGACGGTCCTCAAGTTAATGGACGAAGCCGTGAATGTGAAGGTTGCCCGGCTACTTCCTTTATGGTCAGAGACCTTGAACAAGCAGAAACAGAAATTCTCAAGCTGGTGCAAGCGAATTATTTCGATAAAGAAATCAAGATTCTGAAAGATTTCCAAACTCAGACCGGAAGTGTGCCTAAAGATCGTCATCATGATAAGGAAAGGAAAGCAGTTTTGAAGAAAAGTAGCAGCCTTAACGCCCTTGACCCATACCTGGATGCCAGCGGAATGTTGAGAGTCGGAGGACGGATAAAGAAGGCTAACCTCTCAGACAGTCTTAAGAACCCTGTCATCTTACCGAAGACTGGTCATATTACAGAGCTGGTCCTCCGTCACGCCCATGAGAAAACTCACCACAGCGGAAGAGGTCTCACCTTAAACGAACTTCGTTCGAGTGGTTACTGGATTATCAATGGGAATGCTGCGGTCAGACACTTCATTTCAAGGTGGGTCACGTGTCGACATCTCCGTGGTACTAGAACAGAAAATGGCCAACCTCCCAAGTTCCCGTGTTGAACCCGCGCCACAGTTTTCATACTGTGCAGTGGACTACTTTGGTCCGTGGTATGTCAAAGAAGGCAGGAAAGAAGTTAAAAGGTACGGAGCCCTATTTACTTGTTTGGCCAGTCGTGCGGTACATATCGAAGTAGCCCACTCCATGGAAACAGATTCATTCTTACAAGCATTACGGCGCTTAACCTGTCGTAGAGGACCCATAAGAGAACTTCGCAGTGACCAAGGGACTAATTTTGTTGGGGCTGAAAACGAGTTAAAGGCAGCACTTCAAGAAATGGATGATGAGAAAATTAAGGCAGAGTTGCTTAAGGAGAACATCGATTGGATCAGAAATCCTGCTACTGCAAGTAATTTCGGAGGCGTTTGGGAACGACAAATTCGGTCCGTGCGGAACATCATGGCAGCACTTATGAAACAGCATGGTCACAGCTTAAACGACGAATCGTTGCGAACTTTGTTATGTGAAGCTGAAGCTGTTGTCAACAGTCGTCCTCTGACTACCGAGACCTTAAGTGATCCGCTCTCACCGTTGCCACTATCGCCAAGTACCCTTCTCACTGGTAAAACCAAGCTCATTCTTCCCCCTCCAGGAAAGTTTCAACGAGAAGATACTTACTGCAAACGTCGCTGGAGGCGCGTACAGCATATTGCTAACGAATTCTGGAATAGATGGAGTAAAGAATATCTTCAGATCCTACAGTTGAGACAAAAGTGGACAAAAGTGGACACATTGTTCAGGAATAAGTGGAAGCTAAAAACGTCGTGATGATCATAGAAGGACGTTATGAAAAGCGGCAAACATTGTTCAGTTTATGTTTAAAGGACAATCCTTTGTTTTCTGTTCAAATTGTTACGGAATAAATTAATGCAAGTGGCCAAAATGATGGCTTTTGAACGTTGTGCACTTTCAGGTCCACAAAAACATATAACAAAGGAGTCTGACGGGTTTCATAACCATTCCACTCAATTAACTATGTGATGATGAAGGCCAAGTCAGATCGGTGACTGTTCAAACCGGAACTGGATCAGTATTGGATCGACCAGTCAATAAACTTGTGCTGTTGCTAGAGTCACCTAAGGATAGACCGGGAATCCCCGACGAGGAGCCTGAGGAACTGTGATGTTACAGAAACAGGATATCTAGAACGCTTAGCAATTCTAGTATTCTAAACAAGTTAGAGTAAGATTTGTTTTGGTTAAAATGACAAACATTTTAGGGGAGCCATGTAAATGCTAGGTGTCCTGTGCACTAGGCCCAGTCTGCGCCGAGGTGTTGTCATTCGACACTAGGTCAAACCTCGGCATACATGTGCTTTTATCGCTTGTTATTTTCGCCTTTATTTCTCGGATAAGGATCGTTTAACTAGACTCACATCGAAGGAATAGAACATTACGGAAGCATTACGGATATTTCAGCAGTTTTCAAGGTTACGGATAGAGACACTTGCTTGTTTGTAAGGATTTCTTGTACGGTATTGTATTCGAACGGTGTGCTGAGCGTAGTTGATCGGATCGAATAAAACGTGGAATTGACATCGAATTGACGGCTGTTACAGGCAGTGCGTACAACACTCCCGATTAGTCATCATCGAGGATTTACACCTTAAAATCCAGTAAGGATGTCAAGTCGAATGCTTGTCCCTCAGTTATGGCCACACAGCCATCATAGTTTAGCGTACGTTTCAAAATAAATAAAATATGATGACCTTTCACTGGTTGCATTTTTCGCCGGATACGCCGTCATTTTGCAGCCTCAATTTCGTCCAGTTGCTTTGAGTCATTTTCTACTCTCAGGGAGTGTCCAAGTAATCGGATGAAATTCAGGCTTAAGGGACTTCGCGCCTGCATTATTTTGATGTATCAGCCAACCAAGTGCTCTAAAGGCCTTCGGTACGCAAGTTGTACACTGCGGTCTTTTTTGAGATTGAATGTGGTCGGGAAATTTGGGGTGATTCGTTTACATGTTTGGAATCTCTTGTCTCACAATCTCCGTTGCGATATTATCCTGTGAGCCTACGCGCTCGGATAGTTCTCCAGCCGTTTTCTTCTGCAGTGATTAAAGAGTTTACGTAACAGGACGACAGGGAGAAGAGGACGGTGTGACGATAGGTTTTGTCCTTCCAAGCACAAATCGGGGAAATAAGCGTTAAGAGAACTCGAGCGACTTTGGTGTAAGAACAACAAGGGGAAAACTACTCTGCAACTCGCTTGGCTAGCAGGAAAGGAACTCGTCAGTATTCCAAGGTACTAGGATCTGCTACAACTGGAAACAGGACAGGAATCAAACTTGGACTTCAACAGTTTAATCTTCAGCTCGTGAACGTAAATCATACAGACATGTAAATCCGCAATGTAAATCGAAAAACAGGAATAACAGTGCTCTATTTATACTAACCGATCAACTTGTTAGAACATCGGAAAACAAAAGGAAAGAAGGCTGAATAAAATCAGCTGATCACTGAAAACAAATCTGGATAAATTCAGTTTTAAAGTTCATATATGTTAAACTAAATAACTCAAAATTAAATGTCACTCAAGCAAGGAAATTTACAAAGAAAGCTGTGTAAAAGAATTCTAGTTTCCTTTGCTCAGGATCCCTCAAAATGTTAAAACTAAAAACTACGATCGGTTGGTATTTGAACAGGCGAAAGGTCTAGTTATTCAGTGACTAAGCTGTATATCTATGTCTAGAAAATTCAATTTCGAGGGTACATATAATATGCGTACAGAAATTTCCTGAGGCACACTGTTCCAATAATTATATACAGGAGCAGGAGCCTATGACATGAGTAAACAATCTCGGTTACAATGTTTGTACAGAGAATAAAGATTCCTGTTTGCACAGACTTAAATAAAAACTTATTCAAAACAGATGAAATCCTATTTTATAATTTTGTAGTCCACGCGCCGTGAAATAAATTGAAAACCCAATGAAATCTACATTTTCCCTTTAACAACGGTAAAACGCTTGTGTGTGCCAAATGTGACAGGGCTATTAATTGCGAGTTTAACTTAACATTAATGTTTTCTGGTCTTTTAAAAAAGGATCTGTTTGACGGAAAGTTTTTTCAAACAAAATTTGTCACACAAGGTTTGCCGTCTTCTTTCCTCTTCCATCCTGTTGCACATTACCAACACATTGAGTCTCATCTCAGCAAGAAACAACCGCAAGTGAAAATTCTTATAGCGTTTCTCTTCAGTCAACCTCATTTTATAGATGCTCAGGGTCGTAACAAGGTATATGGGATCAGGGATCAACGGCAAAAAAATGGGGTGGGATCAGGAATCACAGCGCCGGGAACTGGGATCACAAGCCATGGGATCAGGATCAGTGGTACTGTAAAGGGATCAGGGATCCGGTTTTCCGACATAACAACAAAGACCGCGCAATTCTGAAATGAGTCTTAATTGAAGCGACCTGCAGCCATTTAAAATTCAGTTGTATTTTTGCTGTAACATTTCGATCCGGTACTAAACTGTGTGCAATCCGATCTGCTGGACTACCTTGACCGCAAAACGTAATATATACTTAATTTGAATTTAAAGATATTTATCTTATTTAGCCTTAATTTTCTAGCACATAACTAACTCTCTGCTATTTGACCTGTTGACTCAGTTTGTTGGTTTTATAAATCAAATCCTTTGACTGGTATTTTGCACTTTGTAGCGGAGCTCTCGCGCGCGAAGCGCGCGCAGTGGAACACCATGGGTAACAAAATTTGGTAAACTATCCATCCGAGAAAATTTGGTTATGACGTAGCGTACGCCCGCCGGCCCGCCCACCCGTCCGTACACGCAATTCATGCGCGATTTTCTTGCCTCGAGTTCATCTTGAAAAAGAGCAAACACCGGGAAGCCGGCTTAAAACATAAATAAGCTTATGCTTACCTGACTCATGATTTTCAGAGACACTTTACTCTCAATACTTGTCTTCGTGAATGAAACTTATTGTCTCTGTGCATGTTTCACCGCATTATATTTATTTTATTGATTTTTAGTAGTCCATCTCGCAATTTTTATCGCTGCACCGGTTGTTTCCAGTCGAACATAAACATCGCATGCAGGAATAGACCTTGTCAAGGTTTTCGACGCCATCTTGACGAGTAGGCAAACGCGTGAGATATTACAGTGATTGTATGAGAATCTAATGTCGAATAATTTTCGTAGAACGGCTGTTCTGAAAAAAATACGATTTGTAAACTAAAGCTTCACTTCTAAGGATTCTCCTGAAAAAAATTTTAGGGCGTTGCATGCACTGGAAGACCTAGAACCACATTTTTAATTTTCTTATGCATTTTTCCGTTGGAAAGTTCCGGGAAAATTACAGACAAATATATGGAAAATCTAAAGCAAGCCTCTGGAGAAATTCAAGCACGGGTACGCCCCTTAAATTTTTTAGGACAATCCTTTGCTTTGTTGCTTTCGTTTACAATTGATATTTTGTTCAGAACAGCCATTTTATGGAAATTATTTGACATTAGATTCTCATACAAACACTGTAATTTCTCATGCGTTTGCCTACTCGTCAAGATGGCGTCGAAAACCGTGACAGGGTCTATACTCAAAACGCCGCGCGTAAATAGCTCGCTTTTAAAGATTACACATAACAAATAATAAACAGTTTTATAAATAAAGGGAAATAAAACCTAAACATAACAAATTCTCTATTATGTTGAAGCGTAAATGTGAACTCTATTAATCGGCACTGCAAATTTGGTGCCTGTCCAAAGTGAGAACCCGTCCGGCTGGCCGAAAAGGTGGTTTTGGGAATCTTTTTTATCGTTTTCACTAAAAGCCCATAATTATTACCCTGCATATCACATAGGGCCAGATTTTTCTTTACTGAAAAGTCCCGGCATTATGGAATTCTCTTCATGAAAACGTTTTATAATGTGGTCAATGCTATAATTTGTTGTGCAAAGGAAGCGCGTGCTTTGATCGTCCTGGATATTGAATGAGTGCAATTTGTCTTGCAAAATTGTGAAAAACTGCAGAATTATAGGTTTAAATAGGGCAAAAAAGAACAAAATTCTGTCCAAGGTCTTTATGATAAAAAAAGGGCCTCAGAATACTGCGCTTACTTGAGACGTGATGAGAAAAAGTATGTTTAAAAGGCTGGTTTACACGCCACGTCAACGGATTCGTCGCCAAGATTTACTTGTAAAGTAAAATTGTCGAACACAAAAAATCCGGCCTGATTTTTTATGTTGGCCTCCCTTTTAGACAGAGGAATACAACGTGTAAATTGGCTGCCACTAAGGACTATCGTGGCGCGTGTGTTTCTTAAAATTATATTTCGGAGTTATCCAATCATCCATGGTCTCTCAAAGGGAGCAACAGCTAATGCAAATACAATACACGAATAGGTCTATTTGTTTTCCAGGCCCAGTCTACTGTGATCGAACATGATTGCTATTTTTGGGTGTACAAATAAGTCTATTAACTCGATGTAAAATTTGTTTCACTCTTGGACTGTCAAATTATTTTTCTCTAGAATCACTTAGCCTTTGCCTTTGCTTTTACATGAATGTGCCCTGATCTATTGATTACAAGTTTATTGTTTGATTTAAATTGTGAATTTTTTAATGGGAGCTTCCCTTTTAGCCCTGGCTAAATCTATATATTACGTTTTACTGACCAGCCTCAATAGACCATATATGTTCGCTTGGCAGCCTATATAGCAAAATTCCTTTAACAGATCCCAAAACAAATAAACTAACTATGTGACGCCAAGAGACACGAACGACTTCGTAGGGTAAGGTGTCTGACTCTTAACCAAACTTGCATAGCCTACGTACAAGGCAAGAGAATCATCCAAAATCCAGGAAACAAAATCCCTATTGTCTGGAAACGAATTGATGCAAATTGTGAAGCCATGATAGATCCTCTTCAAATTTCTTGTTGCTACACCTTTTGCAAGTTATATTCGCAATTTATAAGCTGTTGTTGTTCATACGCCAACTGCGACGGAGACTCTCTAATCATACTGGTCTTGTGGAATTCTGTTTGTACTTCAATCATTGGTTGTCCATGTACTGAAATGGAATTTGCGGCCCGCAACGTAATTTCATGTTAACAGTCTTTCCTTACGAAATAAATTTTGTACGATTTGGCCTTGTGTATTGATAATAATGATAATCAAATAACTTTTGTTGGACATATAGTTTATTTGTGTCCCCCTTAGCATCATTTGCACCCTCGCTCCGCTTGGGCGCAAATGATGCTATGAGGGACACGAATAAACTATGCCCTTCAAAGTCATGTGATTGTCCTATTATCCGGCTCCTAATTGACTTCTTTTCCAAAAACAGTATTCAGCAAGTTAAAAACAATGACTTCCTAACGACATGTATACCGAACATAGAGCAGTTCGGAAAACTTTGCTCTTGCTAGCTTTATTTTCGATCCGTGACGCCCTTATTGAAATTTGTCTATTATCAGCATGATGTCGGTTAAGTTGAGAAGCCGAAGATCACTCTACGTGGTGAGTGTAAATAATTGCAGCCATGGGTTCTTGTTGCAGCACATTTGTGCACTCTGTTGGGTGGATTCAAAAGTTTCTTCGCGCCACACCAAGTTCTCGAAGGAGTATCCTTTGGTCGCTGAAAGTGCTAAAGAAAAGGCCTCTCTTTCAACAGACAGTCTATTTTGGCTCTCTAGAGGGTGTAGTATATTACATCTTCCTATCATATAAGACCATCTGATCGATTTAAGTCTCTCTACAAGCTTCTTTAGTTTTATTTAAGTTTCCTCGAAACTCTATACTTAACTCAGTTATCTCAGTGTTTGACAAACTTTTGCAAGACTCTATAGACTCCATTCGATGTTGGATAAAACGCAAATGATTATATTGCTCTTGATCGAAAGGATTTTAATAATGGCCTTTTTCGTTGGGCGGTTTGGCAGTCCCGCCGAGACACCTGCCGAGAGGTTCTTCTCCTAAGAAGTGTAACAAGGTTCATTATTTCTTGTGCCAAGCAAAAAAGAGGTGGTTGTTTTTTGAGCTTTTAGGGGATTATTAAAAAAAAAGAAGAAATAAGGAAAAATTTTTAGCTATTTACCCGTTAATTCAAGGATAACTTTGTGACACTCTAGTCAAGGACGACTTTTTTCTTACTCTCAGGCTAGTTGCCTCTTTAAGATTGACACCGCATCTTAAGTATAAAAAGCCAAGAATCTCCAACGATTTCGGAGGGAACGAACTTCTCTCTATGTTTTACGATTATTGGTTCAAGAAAACCATTTTGAGGTCTGTTCAATTCGCTGTTTGCTGAGTGTGCGAAAATGAATTTAACTAGCTAATTGAAGGCTATAGACGACAACTGATCCTTCACTGACCTTGAGCAGTAGGACTGTTTTGTCTAGCACATGTCAAATTAAAATATACCAAATTAACACTAGACATTGCCTAATGGAGCTAGATTAAACTTGCATCATTGGGAGTATAAAAACAGAGGTGGTAACGAGAGCCAGAGTCCGAGAAAATCAGGCAAATGGACGTTCAAATATCAAGATTTAAGCACAAAAAAGATCTAAGCATACACACTAATAATCAGTAATTAAAAAAAGAAAGTTTTTAATTTTAGCGTCCTAAGATTATATAAAAGAATTCATGCGTTCATCATAATAAAGGTTGTTGCTCTAAACCATGCAGGTGAGTCCAAAAACCAAAATAAAATCTAATTGAAGAGAAGCACATTAATCAATATTCAGCATATGATACCCACGAGCGGAAAACGATCGGATAATAAAGCATTACTCACTTTTTTTCAACGAGTGCTTGAAGCTCCAGATTTAGTTTTCGCCTCAGTTTCCCTGCATGCAACTGAAGCCAGGAATTAGACTCAGATCGGAAACTCCAAAAACCGATAAAACAGCAATTCAATTGGGTTTAAGCCATCATTATCATGCAATGTGCGGTAATTACCCGAGTTGCCGAGTGTCGCGTCCGATTCTTACAAAAATTGGAAAGTACGCCACGATAGCGTAAAAAATAACAATGCTTACATATAGTTACACAAATGCACGTGGCATATAACTCGCTCGGGCTGAGGGTCAGCGAGTAGGTAACCGAATAGTTTAAGTCTAAAAATGTGTATATAGTCAGGATGCAACACCGACGATATTTGTAATGTCTACCCTTGTTGTTAGTTTTCGCCTTACCTAGTTGAGCGTTTGTGATATGGCTCAGCCAAGCGCCCCAAAAAACACAAACCAGAAGGAGCACTAAACCAAGAAAACAACGACCTGCCATAATGAACACCCGTTGAAAAATAACCGATCCCTGTCAGGCTTAAATTCAAAAAGTCCAAAATACATCCGGGATAGCACCAGTTTTGAAACATCTGGACGTCTAATTTCTTATAGTTAATTATCTAGTGTGTTTAAACTTTTTGACTCAAGGAGCGTGCAATTTGCCAGATTAAAGTGATTCTCACGGTTGGCGGTCGCCCCTTTTTAGAATATCGTCTTACGGTGTTATAAAATGAAATAGTAAGAATATCAATTTCTGCAAAAGCTTTCCGAAAGCTTTCTATTGCGCTTACACTTAGTTGTTTTCAAAACTTAAGAGGATTTTTGACGGTTGATCGAGGTTGTTGCGGCCTCGCTGTTTTTCGTCTTTTTTTTTTAATCGTGTTTCGGTCTCTGTAGGTCCATGTACTCCTCTTTCCGAGTTGTGAGTTTCACCGCATTATATTTATTTTATTGATTTTTAGTAGTCCATCTCGCAATTTTTATCGCTGCACCGGTTGTTTCCAGTCGAACATAAACATCGCATGCAGGAATAGACCTTGTCAAGGTTTTCGACGCCATCTTGACGAGTAGGCAAACGCGTGAGATATTACAGTGATTGTATGAGAATCTAATGTCGAATAATTTTCGTAGAACGGCTGTTCTGAAAAAAATACGATTTGTAAACTAAAGCTTCACTTCTAAGGATTCTCCTGAAAAAATTTTTAGGGCGTTGCATGCACTGGAAAACCTAGAACCACATTTTTAATTTTCTTATGCATTTTTCCGTTGGAAAGTTCCGGGAAAATTACAGACAAATATATGGAAAATCTAAAGCAAGCCTCTGGAGAAATTCAAGCACGGGTACGCCCCTTAAATTTTTTAGGACAATCCTTTGCTTTGTTGCTTTCGTTTACAATTGATATTTTGTTCAGAACAGCCATTTTATGGAAATTATTTGACATTAGATTCTCATACAAACACTGTAATTTCTCATGCGTTTGCCTACTCGTCAAGATGGCGTCGAAAACCGTGACAGGGTCTATACTCAAAACGCCGGGCGTAAATAGCTCGCTTTTAAAGATTACACATAACAAATCATAAACAGTTTTATAAATAAAGGGAAATAAAACCTAAACATAACAAATTCTGTATCATGTTGAAGCGTAAATGCTAACTCTATTAATCGACACTGCAAATTTGGTGCCTGTCAAAAGCGAGAACGTTAACCCGTCCGGCTGGCCGAAAAGGTGGTTTTGGGAATTTTTTTATCGTTTTCACTAAAAGCCCATAATTATTACCCTGCATATCAGATAGGACTAGATTTTTCTTACTGAAAAGTCCCGGCATTATGGAATTCTCTTCATGAAAACGTTTTATAATGTGGTCAATGCTATAATTTGTTGTGCAAAGGAAGCGCGTGCTTTGATCGTCCTGGATATTGAATGAAAAAATTGTGAAAAACTGCAGAATTATAGGTTTAAATAGGGCAAAAAAGAACAAAATTCGGTTCGAGGTCTGTATGATAAAAAAGGGCCTCATAGTACTGCGTTTACCTGAGACGTGATGAGAAAAAGTATTTTTAAAAGGCTGGTTTACACGCCACCAGATTCGTCGCCAAGATTTACATGTAAAGTAAACTTGTCGAACACTAAAAAAATCCGGCCTGATTTTTTATGTTGGCCTTATGTGACGCCAAGAGACACGAACGACTTCGTAGGGTAAGGTGTCTGACTCTTAACCAAACTTGCATAGCCTACGTACAAGGCAAGAGAATCATCCAGAATCCAGGAAACAAAATCCCTATTGTCTGAAACGAATTGATGCAAATTGTGAAGCCATGATAGATCCTCTTCAAATTTCTTGTTGCTACCTTTTTTTGCAAGTTATATTCGCAATTTATAAGCTGTTGTTGTTCATACGCCAACTGCGACGGAGACTCTCTAATCATACTGGTCTTGTGGAATTCTGTTTGTACTTCAATCATTGGTTGTCCACTGTACTGAAATGGAATTTGCGGCCCGCAACGTAATTTCATGTTAACAGTCTTTCCTTACGAAATAAATTTTGTACGATTTGGCCTTGTGTATTGATAATAATGATAATCAAATAACTTTTGTTGGACATATAGTTTATTTGTGTCCCCCTTAGCATCATTTGCACCCTCGCTCCGCTTGGGCGCAAATGATGCTATGAGGGACACGAATAAACTATGCCCCTCAAAGTCATGTGATTGTCCTATTATCCGGCTCCTAATTGACTTCTTTTCCAAAAACAGTATTCAGCAAGTTGAAAACAATGACTTCCTAACGACATGTATATCGAACATAGAGCAGTTCGGAAAACTTTGCTCTTGCTAGCTTTATTTTCGATCCGTGACGCCCTTATTGAAATTTGTCTGTTATCAGCATGGTGTCGGTTAAGTTGAGAAGCCGAAGATCACTCTACGTGGTGAGTGTAAATAATTGCAGCCATGGGTTCTTGTTGCAGCACATTTGTGCACTCTGTTGGGTGGATTCAAAAGTTTCTTCGCGCCACACCAAGTTCTCGAAGGAGTATCCTTTGGTCGCTGAAAGTGCTAAAGAAAAGGCCTCTCTTTCAACAGACAGTCTATTTTGGCTCTCTAGAGGGTGTAGTATATTACATCTTCCTATCATATAAGACCATCTGATCGATTTAAGTCTCTCTACAAGCTTCTTTAGTTTTATTTAAGTTTCCTCGAAACTCTATACTTAACTCAGTTATCTCAGTGTTTGACAAACTTTTGCAAGACTCTATAGACTCCATTCGATGTTGGATAAAACGCAAATGATTATATTGGTCTTGATCGAAAGGATTTTAATAATGGCCTTTTTCGTTGGGCGGTTTGGCAGTCCCGCCGAGACACCTGCCGAGAGGTTCTTCTCCTAAGAAGTGTAACAAGGTTCATTATTTCTTGTGCCAAGCAAAAAAAAGAGGTGGTTTTTTTGAGCTTTTTGGGGATTATTAAAAAAAAGAAGAAATAAGGAAAAATTTTTAGCTATTTACCCGTTAATTCAAGGATAACTTTGTGACACTCTAGTCAAGGACGACTTTTTTTACTCTCAGGCTAGTTGCCTCTTTAAGATTGACACCGCATCTTAAGTATAAAAAGCCAAGAATCTCCAACGATTTTGGAGGGAACGAACTTCTCTCTATGTTTTTCGATTATTGGTTCAAGAAAACCATTTTGAGATCTGTTCTATTCGCTGTTTGCTGAGTGTGCGAAAATGAATTTAACTAGCTAATTGAAGGCTATAGACGACAACTGATCCTTCACTGACCTTGAGCAGTAGGACTGTTTTGTCTAGCACATGTCAAATTAAAATATACCAAATTAACACTAGACATTGCCTAATGGAGCTAGATTAAACTTGCATCATTGGGAGTATAAAAACAGAGGTGGTAACGAGAGCCAGAGTCCGAGAAAATCAGGCAAATGGACGTTCAAATATCAAGATTTAAGCACAAAAAAGATCTAAGCATACACACTAATAATCAGTAATTAAAAAAAGAAAGTTTTTAATTTTAGCGTCCTAAGATTATATAAAAGAATTCATGCGTTCATCATAATAAAGGTTGTTGCTCTAAACCATGCAGGTGAGTCCAAAAACCAAAATAAAATCTAATTGAAGAGAAGCACATTAATCAATATTCAGCATATGATACCCACGAGCGGAAAACGATCGGATAATAAAGCATTACTCACTTTTTTCAACGAGTGCTTGAAGCTCCAGATTTAGTTTTCGCCTCAGTTTCCCTGCATGCAACTGAAGCCAGGAATTAGACTCAGATCGGAAACTCCAAAAACCGATAAAACAGCAATTCAATTGGGTTTAAGCCATCATTATCATGCAATGTGCGGTAATTACCCGAGTTGCCGAGTGTCGCGTCCGATTCTTACAAAAATTGGAAAGTACGCCACGATAGCGTAAAAAATAACAATGCTTACATATAGTTACACAAATGCACGTGGCATATAACTCGCTCGGGCTGAGGGTCAGCGAGTAGGTAACCGAATAGTTTAAGTCTAAAAATGTGTATATAGTCAGGATGCAACACCGACGATATTTGTAATGTCTACCCTTGTTGTTAGTTTTCGCCTTACCTAGTTGAGCGTTTGTGATATGGCTCAGCCAAGCGCCCCAAAAAACACAAACCAGAAGGAGCACTAAACCAAGAAAACAACGACCTGCCATAATGAACACCCGTTGAAAAATAACCGATCCCTGTCAGGCTTAAATTCAAAAAGTCCAAAATACATCCGGGATAGCACCAGTTTTGAAACATCTGGACGTCTAATTTCTTATAGTTAATTATCTAGTGTGTTTAAACTTTTTGACTCAAGGAGCGTGCAATTTGCCAGATTAAAGTGATTCTCACGGTTGGCGGTCGCCCCTTTTTAGAATATCGTCTTACGGTGTTATAAAATGAAATAGTAAGAATATCAATTTCTGCAAAAGCTTTCCGAAAGCTTTCTATTGCGCTTACACTTAGTTGTTTTCAAAACTTAAGAGGGATTTTTGACGGTTGATCGAGGTTGTTGCGGCCTCGCTGTTTTCGTCGCTTTTTTTAATCGTGTTTCGGTCTCTGTAGGTCCATGTACTCCTCTTTCCGAGTTGTGAGTTTCACCGCATTATATTTATTTTATTGATTTTTAGTAGTCCATCTCGCAATTTTTATCGCTGCACCGGTTGTTTCCAGTCGAACATAAACATCGCATGCAGGAATAGACCTTGTCAAGGTTTTCGACGCCATCTTGACGAGTAGGCAAACGCGTGAGATATTACAGTGATTGTATGAGAATCTAATGTCGAATAATTTTCGTAGAACGGCTGTTCTGAAAAAAATACGATTTGTAAACTAAAGCTTCACTTCTAAGGATTCTCCTGAAAAAATTTTTAGGGCGTTGCATGCACTGGAAAACCTAGAACCACATTTTTAATTTTCTTATGCATTTTTCCGTTGGAAAGTTCCGGGAAAATTACAGACAAATATATGGAAAATCTAAAGCAAGCCTCTGGAGAAATTCAAGCACGGGTACGCCCCTTAAATTTTTTAGGACAATCCTTTGCTTTGTTGCTTTCGTTTACAATTGATATTTTGTTCAGAACAGCCATTTTATGGAAATTATTTGACATTAGATTCTCATACAAACACTGTAATTTCTCATGCGTTTGCCTACTCGTCAAGATGGCGTCGAAAACCGTGACAGGGTCTATACTCAAAACGCCGCGCGTAAATAGCTCGCTTTTAAAGATTACACATAACAAATAATAAACAGTTTTATAAATAAAGGGAAATAAAACCTAAACATAACAAATTCTCTATTATGTTGAAGCGTAAATGTGAACTCTATTAATCGGCACTGCAAATTTGGTGCCTGTCCAAAGTGAGAACCCGTCCGGCTGGCCGAAAAGGTGGTTTTGGGAATCTTTTTTATCGTTTTCACTAAAAGCCCATAATTATTACCCTGCATATCACATAGGACCAGATTTTTCTTTACTGAAAAGTCCCGGCATTATGGAATTCTCTTCATGAAAACGTTTTATAATGTGGTCAATGCTATAATTTGTTGTGCAAAGGAAGCGCGTGCTTTGATCGTCCTGGATATTGAATGAGTGCAATTTGTCTTGCAAAATTGTGAAAAACTGCAGAATTATAGGTTTAAATAGGGCAAAAAAGAACAAAATTCTGTCCGAGGTCTTTATGATTAAAAAGGGCCTCAGAATACTGCGCTTACTTGAGACGTGATGAGAAAAAGTATGTTTAAAAGGCTGGTTTACACGCCACGTCAACGGATTCGTCGCCAAGATTTACTTGTCAAGTAAAATTGTCGAACACAAAAAATCCGGCCTGATTTTTTATGTTGGCCTTATGTGACGCCAAGAGACACGAACGACTTCGTAGGGTAAGGTGTCTGACTCTTAACCAAACTTGCATAGCCTACGTACAAGGCAAGAGAATCATCCAGAATCCAGGAAACAAAATCCCTATTGTCTGGAAACGAATTGATGCAAATTGTGAAGCCATGATAGATCCTCTTCAAATTTCTTGTTGCTACACCTTTTGCAAGTTATATTCGCAATTTATAAGCTGTTGTTGTTCATACGCCAACTGCGACGGAGACTCTCTAATCATACTGGTCTTGTGGAATTCTGTTTGTACTTCAATCATTGGTTGTCCACTGTACTGAAATGGAATTTGCAGCCCGCAACGTAATTTCATGTTAACAGTCTTTCCTTGCGAAATAAATTTTGTACGATTTGGCCTTGTGTATTGATAATAATGATAATCAAATAACTTTTGTTGGACATATAGTTTATTTGTGTCCCCCTTAGCATCATTTGCACCCTCGCTCCGCTTGGGCGCAAATGATGCTATGAGGGACACGAATAAACTATGCCCCTCAAAGTCATGTGATTGTCCTATTATCCGGCTCCTAATTGACTTCTTTTCCAAAAACAGTATTCAGCAAGTTGAAAACAATGACTTCCTAACGACATGTATATCGAACATAGAGCAGTTCGGAAAACTTTGCTCTTGCTAGCTTTATTTTCGATCCGTGACGCCCTTATTGAAATTTGTCTGTTATCAGCATGGTGTCGGTTAAGTTGAGAAGCCGAAGATCACTCTACGTGGTGAGTGTAAATAATTGCAGCCATGGGTTCTTGTTGCAGCACATTTGTGCACTCTGTTGGGTGGATTCAAAAGTTTCTTCGCGCCACACCAAGTTCTCGAAGGAGTATCCTTTGGTCGCTGAAAGTGCTAAAGAAAAGGCCTCTCTTTCAACAGACAGTCTATTTTGGCTCTCTAGAGGGTGTAGTATATTACATCTTCCTATCATATAAGACCATCTGATCGATTTAAGTCTCTCTACAAGCTTCTTTAGTTTTATTTAAGTTTCCTCGAAACTCTATACTTAACTCAGTTATCTCAGTGTTTGACAAACTTTTGCAAGACTCTATAGACTCCATTCGATGTTGGATAAAACGCAAATGATTATATTGGTCTTGATCGAAAGGATTTTAATAATGGCCTTTTTCGTTGGGCGGTTTGGCAGTCCCGCCGAGACACCTGCCGAGAGGTTCTTCTCCTAAGAAGTGTAACAAGGTTCATTATTTCTTGTGCCAAGCAAAAAAGAGGTGGTTGTTTTTTGAGCTTTTAGGGGATTATTAAAAAAAAGAAGAAATAAGGAAAAATTTTTAGCTATTTACCCGTTAATTCAAGGATAACTTTGGGACACTCTAGTCAAGGACGACTTTTTTCTTACTCTCAGGCTAGTTGCCTCTTTAAGATTGACACCGCATCTTAAGTATAAAAAGCCAAGAATCTCCAACGATTTCGGAGGGAACGAACTTCTCTCTATGTTTTTCGATTATTGGTTCAAGAAAACCATTTTGAGATCTGTTCAATTCGCTGTTTGCTGAGTGTGCGAAAATGAATTTAACTAGCTAATTGAAGGCTATAGACGACAACTGATCCTTCACTGACCTTGAGCAGTAGGACTGTTTTGTCTAGCACATGTCAAATTAAAATATACCAAATTAACACTAGACATTGCCTAATGGAGCTAGATTAAACTTGCATCATTGGGAGTATAAAAACAGAGGTGGTAACGAGAGCCAGAGTCCGAGAAAATCAGGCAAATGGACGTTCAAATATCAAGATTTAAGCACAAAAAAGATCTAAGCATACACACTAATAATCAGTAATTAAAAAAAGAAAGTTTTTAATTTTAGCGTCCTAAGATTATATAAAAGAATTCATGCCTTCATCATAATAAAGGTTGTTGCTCTAAACCATGCAGGTGAGTCCAAAAACCAAAATAAAATCTAATTGAAGAGAAGCACATTAATCAATATTCAGCATATGATACCCACGAGCGGAAAACGATCGGATAATAAAGCATTACTCACTTTTTTCAACGAGTGCTTGAAGCTCCAGATTTAGTTTTCGCCTCAGTTTCCCTGCATGCAACTGAAGCCAGGAATTAGACTCAGATCGGAAACTCCAAAAACCGATAAAACAGCAATTCAATTGGGTTTAAGCCATCATTATCATGCAATGTGCGGTAATTACCCGAGTTGCCGAGTGTCGCGTCCGATTCTTACAAAAATTGGAAAGTACGCCACGATAGCGTAAAAAATAACAATGCTTACATATAGTTACACAAATGCACGTGGCATATAACTCGCTCGGGCTGAGGGTCAGCGAGTAGGTAACCGAATAGTTTAAGTCTAAAAATGTGTATATAGTCAGGATGCAACACCGACGATATTTGTAATGTCTACCTTTGTTGTTAGTTTTCGCCTTACCTACTTGAGCGTTTGTGATATGGCTCAGCCAAGCGCCCCAAAAAACACAAACCAGAAGGAGCACTAAACCAAGAAAACAACGACCTGCCATAATGAACACCCGTTGAAAAATAACCGATCCCTGTCAGGCTTAAATTTAAAAAGTCCAAAATACATCCGGGATAGCACCAGTTTTGAAACAACTGGACGTCTAATTTCTCATAGTTAATTATCTAGTGTGTTTAAACTTTTTGACTCAAGGAGTGTGCAATTTGCCCGATTAAAATGGTTCTCACGGTTGGCGGTCGCCCCTTTTTAGAATATCGTCTTACGGTGTTATAAAATGAAATAGTAAGAATATCAATTTCTGCAAAAGCTTTCCGAAAGCTTTGTATTGCGCTTATACTTAGTTGTTTTCAAAACTTAAGAGGGATTTCTGACGGTTGATCGAGGTTATTGCGGCTTCGCTGTTTTCGTCGCTTTTTTTTTTAATCGTGTTTCGGTCTCTATAGGTCCGTGTACTCCTCTTTCCAAGTTGTGCCGATATTTTGTAGACTACGAGTAGTCCCTCGTTTCGCACCAATACCTTGTTTATTTACAGTGCATTGCGGGGAATAAGCTTCCATGCATGACTATAATTTATTTAAGCAATAGACACGTGGGTTATTACGCCGTGATATCTTAGTTATTTTATAAATATCGTAAGTGAATTTCCTTTGCACTTAGCTGTCGTTATTAGTTATAGTTATATATAGACATAAAGTTATATCGAATACAAATTTTACATGGAAAAGGTTGCTTTAGTGCAAGGTAATCGTCTATAAAGCTGCCCCAGTGGGTAACCCGACAATATACGCGTTATAATATTTCACGCTAGAAATGTGCCAGCGGTAAGCTGGTAACTATAAAAAGATGAAAAACTTAAACATAAAGAGTTTTAAGTTTGTCGATGAAAAGACATTCACCCGCTTAACGAAATTGACCCAATAATTGGAGCAATTCCAAGCTAAATTGACCAAAGGAAAGTTGCCAAACAAACGAATGCCAAAAAATTGCCCGTCGCACTTAAGATTCGAACATCGTTGAAATGAATGATAGAGTTTGTTTGGGAACAGGAAAATTCCACAGCTTGGTAAAATTAAACGCTAGTTTTACGTGCAAGTAATTTTGGATTTATTCAAGCGTGGATATCATCGAACTGTTCTTCCCTGCCGCAGCCAGCAAATACAGAAAAAGGAAAATGAAATGAAGAGTATAATCCAATTATTTATAAAATTTATAAAAAGCTCCCTTTGGCTCCCTTGGCATCACCGTGTTGAGAAACTTAAAAACGGTTTTGCCGTTATTTTCATTTAAAGTGGAATCTCCAAATAACGAAGACCAAGGGACTGGCAAAATTTGGTCGCTGTAACCATGGTAACGAGGTTTCGCAATATCGAGGTTCAATTCTTTTTCATACATTTTACTGTACTGGGGTAAAGAAAATGGTTCCAATCAGTAAAGAATGCGTCTGTAAAGTGTTTTTCAGACTTAACATTGTTAACATTCCTATTTTCTACAACCTAAGACTAATCCGTGGAGCTGCAGACCGTGGAACCACGGAACCTGCGGAACCTAGTACGGAACCTGAAGAAATGACTGTTTTATTACAACTGCCGATAAAATAATTAGTTGCAGTTATTTTTTTCACAATGGCTGAGCGACTTTTCACCCGCTGATTGATCGAGAGCTATTGTCGATAACAGTACAGACAATTGAAAACACTTGTCGATCTCGGTTTAGTATCACTGATCGAGAGCTCTGGTTCCGAAACAGAAAGTCCTCGAATCGCGGACTTCCGGATTGTTAGTAGTCGTCGGAAGGAAACGAGAGGTATAGATATAAACACAGTAGGATGAGAGAACGCATGCTGTCACTTCTAATGACCGCTCTACATCCACCATACACACAGTATCTTTGCGACCTCCTCAAATTCATGCGATCATTTTCAGTATAAACGTATTATTCCATTTCTTACCTTAATACCCTTCATCCCACTATTAAATTTATATCAAACTGTTCATTCAAATCTTTCTCCTTTCTCTACGTCAAGGTGTCCCTCTGTGATGGTATCGATCACTGAAATTGTTCTTTATACTAAACCTATAACCGAACATCAGTACCTTCTACGCTCAGGACCGTGTCACCCCTTACACACTAAACGAGCTTTTCCATTCAGCCTTGCCCTGAGAATACGACGTATACCGTAAAATTCCGAAAATAAGCCCCTCCATGTATAAGCCCCTCCAAATATAAGGCCCCCAAACCGGTAACGCAAAAAACCCTTCGTTAAATCGCCCCCCCAAATATTATCCCCCCAGGGGCTTGTACCTGGAAAATTGCCCTCAAATACAAAGCAGGACAAAGAAAAAATGGTAAATTTACTTCCAACTATAAGGCTAGCCCTATCGAGTTTGAGACGCAAATTTCCCTCCGTAGGTAAGCCCTTCCGAATAGAAGCCCCTCCAAAAATAAGCCCCTCAAAAAGGGCCTTTGAAAAATATAAGCCCCGGGGCTTATTTTCGGAATTTTACGGTATGTTCCTCCCACGAGACGTACAATCTCGGTCTCCTCAACCAGGATATACAACGTATTCATAATATCCAGTGTAGCTAAATGTCGCGGGTCGTGCGTAGTGGGTAGAGATAAATGTCGTGGGTAACAAAAAGTATAGAAAGAAATGATTGAAAAGTGATTGAAAAAAAGAAATAAATAGAAAAAAGTTGTAAAATATTTATGAAACGAAAATCTCCAACTCCTCGATTGCCTTTTTCGTTACGGCTTCTTCTTCGTCCTCTTCCTGGTATTTCCTTAGCAACGTTTGCCTGGATCCCCTTTCACACCATCACTGTGTAAAAGACATTATATGTTGCCGATGAAGATTGATCCATACCTGAGCCATCACCGCGGAAATTTATATACGAAACAGAGGCAGCTCTGACTCGCTGAATGGAAGTGGCTGGTCACCATTCATCTTTGTTCGATCTACAATTCCAATGATCAGCGGAGATTTTTTAAGACGATGGAATGCGATCACCGTGGGAAAGGGGAGGGGAAAAGGACAATTTTGAGGTATTTCATACTTTTGGGTAAAAGTCTTTCTTAAAGAAGTTTTAGGTCTCTTACCTTACGAAGGAACCACCTTAATGCTCAACCTTTCAAGTTAAGGCGAGACATGCAGTATGTAAATTTCATTGCCGTACGAAAATATAGTTTTCTCTATTCTTTTTGTTTTGTTTTCTGTGCAAAATCTCTGCTGTAACGATGCTAAATATCATTCCTCAAACTGAAAGGGCGTTTCAGTCACGAATGTTGACTTCTTTGAGAAGAAGCAGTTCAGTCTCCAGTTTTTCTATAGCCTGCTTCAGGAGTTACATAGCGTACAGAGTTTCTTTTATTTTTCACCTAAATGCCTTTTTAGTGTCCGTTTCTTCTAAAGGATTCGCTTATTTGCTTTGCTGAGCGAGGAGGAATAGGACTGTTACGCGGGTACGAATGTTGTTGTGACGTCATCGAAGGAGGACATCTGCCGCGAACTCATGAGTAAATGACCGAGAAGCGAGAAAGGGGAAATTATTTTAAGCGAGCGGGATACCTGAAAACGACCAAAAATCAACGGAATATGTCTTTAAGTGATTCAAGTTCTGAGAGCAGTTTTAATTCAGAAGATTCTGAGGCAAATTTGGCCAAAGTGGAGGATGAACAAAGTGATTGCGAGTCGCAAGTTTCATGTGAAAGCCTGGAAAATGACGTTGCATATGCCGATGAACCCTTGGCTGATGAAGAATGGATAAAAAAGAACAAAGGCGACTTTTGTCTGATTGGCTGTTTGAATCTTTAATTAGTGTTCAGTCTTCTTGCCTCGCGCAAGAGAGTAAACGAAGATGGCTGCTGCCCCGTCATTCCTCTTTTTTTTTGCTCTCGTCCTAACTTTTCTCGACGAACTCGCACGGAAATGCTTGCTACGCAGGCTAGAAAAAATTGGGCAAATAGGCGTTCAAATATATTTAAACATGAGAAAGATCTAAGCATACAGCGTAATAATCAGTAATTAAAAAAGAAGTTAAAGTTACTTTTAGCGTCTTAAGATTATATACTGAAGAATTCATGCGTTCATCATGTTAAAGGTTGGTGCTCTAAACCATGCAGGTGAATCCAAAAACCAAAATGAAATCTAATTGAAGAGAAGCACATTAATGCAATAGCCAGCATATGATACTCACGAGCGGAAAACGCTCGGATAATAAAGCATTACTCATTTTTTTGAATAAGTGCTTGAAGCTCCAGATTTAGTTTTCGCCTCAGTTTCCCTGCATGCAACTGAAGCCAGGAATTAGACTCAGATCGAAAACTCCAAAAACCGATAAAACGGCAATTCAATTGGGTTTAAGCCATCATTATCATGCAATGTGCGGTAATTACCCGAGTTGCCGAGTATCGCGTCCGATTCTTACAAAAATGGGAAAGTACGCCATGATTGCATAAAAAATAACAATGCTTACATATAGTTACACAAATGCACGTGGCATATAACTCGCTCGGGCTGAGGGTCAGCGAGTAGGTGACCGAATAGTTTAATTGAAAAAATGTGTATATATTCAGGACCAAACACTGACGATATTTGTAATGTCTACCTTTGTTGTTAGTTTTCGTCTTACCTACTTGAGCAGTTGTGATATGGCTCAGCCAAGCGCCCCAAAAAACACAAACCAGCAAGAGCCCCAACCAAACAAAACAACGACCTGCCATAATGAAGACCCGTTGAAAAATAACCGATCCCTGTCAGGCTTAAATTCAAAAAGTCCAAAATACATCCGGGATAGCACCAGTTTTGAAACATCTGGACGTCTAATTTCTTATAGTTAATTATCTAGTGTGTTTAAACTTTTTGACTCAAGGAGCGTGCAATTTGCCAGATTAAAATGGTTCTCACGGTTGGCGGTCGCCCCTTTTTAGAATATCGTCTTACGGTGTTATAAAATGAAATAGTAAGAATATCAATTTCTGCAAAAGCTTTCCGAAAGCTTTCTATTGCGCTTACACTTAGTTGTTTTCAAAACTTAAGACGGATTTT